TATATATATATATATATATATATATATATATATATATATATATATATATATATATATATATAAGTTAATTATTCTTTAAACAATATTTAGCTAGGCTTTCTGATTTCAGAAATTGTATCTGATTTTAAGATTAGATTAAGAAAAAATCAATATTCTGATTAATGGTGAAAAGATAATTGGACATAGAAGTAAGTGTGAATGTATTTGATTTTTTCTAGGAACCATGAAGAAGGAATACTTCTAAAAAAGAGCTCATTTTGTCATCTTGTCCCAGAAAAGTCTGTCTTTACCTGTGCAGAAGTCAGAGAGGAACAGGGGTTTCTTTTCTTTCATATGTTGTTATCATCAGAACAAAGTGATCCTTCAGATGGTAGAGACAAGTGCCCAGGGTATTTGATGTTACTGAATCCAAGTACAAATAAGATGGCAGTAGTTCACAGTCTGAAACCTTCTTCTAGGAAGTTGCAAAGGTTAAGTATATTCCATACCTTTAAAAGATGTGTCAGAAAGCATGGTTTTCTTTTGTTTTCATTCAAACTGAAATATCAGACTGGCACCCACATCCTGTGTCTCTATCACTACAGGGTTTATTGAAAATGTTGTTGGAAGCTGCAAGCTGACAGTTCTCATGTAGTATGTAACCTGTAAATTACCCCTATTCAATTCCCCTATTTTAATGTAATTTCAGCTTCAAGTCCTCGGCTATTCAGGAGGATCTGCTTTATGGCATAATAGAAGATGGAAGTTTGTGGGTCTGGGATGCTTTCTCTGGACAAATCTTGGGTCAGCTGGAGAACGGGCCTGTGGTGGTCATCACATGTAGGCAGAGTTTACTGGCCATAGCAACAAATGATCACATTCATATTTTCAACAAACTCACATTTTGTAATGATGAATTGCAAGGCCACAGGGAAAGTGGGAGCTGATAGTAATTACTGGGATAACTTGTATAGGTGAAGAAAAACTGTAGTGTTAAGGTAATGGTTTCATTCAAGCTGATGAAATGTGGACTTCAGAAGTTTGTTTTGTGTGCAAACCCTACCAAGGCAAGACTGTCATCAATAAGGCACAATATCATAATTTTTCTTGGAATAAGTGACAATTTAGAATCTTCTTTGTCTCGTGGAACTAATATTAAAGTTATGCTCTGCTCTGTGAGCAAAAAATAATCCATCTATTGTTATGGAGTGTGGAATTATAAAAACAATAAATTGCAGCTGAAAATTGCTAAATGCGCTTTTATTTCTACTTTTTTCTCCAGGATAAATTTAGGCACCTTAAAGTGACTTGCACAAGTGCAGTTTGTACCATATAGACCTTCATCCTTAAATTTTAAGAGCTGAGTAGAGGGTGCAAAAATCACTTAAACAAGAATTCAATGTGGGGAAAAAAAACTTTAAAAGAAAAATGAAGAAAAGTTCTAATGAAAAGCCGACTTCTTAACATGTGCATGATGCATGGAATCATTTATAGCACAGTTGGGATAAGACTAAAGTTCAATTAAGAGAAATACCAATCTTTAATATTAGCAGTGCCTATAACATTAAGTACAATTGGTCATAAACAGCCATGCCAATGCTCACAAATTTCCTACATTTCCAAATCCTACAGTCTTCCTGCTTTAACTTGAGTGCATTGTGCAAGGGCATTATATGTCACAAACGTTTAAATAAGATGCAATCCCATAAAGCAAATACCATTGAAATTGGCTTAGTTTTTACATCCTCAGCCCAGTCCTGCAGGTCCCATAAATTTTCAACAATTTTTTTTTGTTCAGCAGTAAGGAAAGCACCCTGTTATTTAAAAGGACTTTTGTTACCATCAGGCACAGTGCTGCTGCTTCAAAAGTAAGCTTGTAACATTGGAGATCAACTGTCACATAAATGTCTTTCGAATGAGAGGGAATTGCCTTTCCACCATGGCTGTAACCATGGAAAAATTCAACAACTTGGGGAGGCTGAACGAAACAAACTTGTTTGAAGTAACTGGGAATGGACTTTGGAATCTGCATCATTTATTACGACATAACTGATATCATTTTACCAGCTCTTGGTCACATTGGTGGTGTTGCCCTCATTTATCTTCAAAATATATAGATCTTTTTTTGAACATGCTATTAACAATGGAAAAACACTTAAACAATGGGGATTGATACAAAAAATGAGTATAATATACACAAATGTGCCAAGTTGGCAATCCAGTGTAAGATCTGGACATGAGATAAAAAGTTTATTCAAAACATTTAGAATATCACCACAGTGAGGTGACATTTTACCTTATGGAACAAACTTCCAAATAGTTATAATGTCAAATTAAATATTCTGGTGTAACAATGAATGGTGTTTTAGTTTGAACATATTGGCTTCGTCCTTTGAGGACTAATCACATTCCTCTGAGTAAGATACTGGCAACCAACTTTAATACCCCAGAGAAATAACCCATGTCATTTGAGAGAATCTTTGGGGTATATATGTTGTTTGTAAACATATTGGACTAGTCTTCTGAGGTGATGTACTTGAAGAGATAAGACATGGACTCGTTGTTGTGTGTGCGCCTGATGGCCTCCACCAAGAGTACACTGATGTCGACTGTCTTAATCTTGTGGCACTGCATTTTCTGGATGTCATGGGGAACTGTGTTGCTCACAACCACCTGAAATACAAATGTTGCAATTGTCACTTCAGATCAATGTATTAACTGACTTCCTGAGCAAATCTCCTGGATGTCAATAATTACTTCCCCTGAACTTCAGATCCAACGTGGGCTAGCTTCTTTACATTCAAATTTCTGTAGGTGTCCACATAATGGAATCCTATCAGTAGCATTTGATTCATGTTTATGAATATTAAAATGGAAAAATTTTAGAAATAAAATCCTATTTCATTTCCTTTGGCTAAAGTTAACTATATTCAGCAATTGTTGTAAGTTGCATGTGCTAGTGTCTGAAGAAATGTTATGATTGGCACCTGTACCTCATCAATAGGAGAAGCTTCCAGAAGTCTCGGAGCATCTGATGACAGCAACCCGTGTGTGGCCATGACATATATTTTATATGCTCCTCTTGACTTCAAGAGTTCTGCTGTGGCAACAAAGGCTTCCACATCATCAATCATGTCATCCTGTACAATAAAAGGGAAATAATTTGGGATAAACTTTATTTCTGAAATAACTGAATACCATGTAACTGTTATTCTATTGTCTTCATTCTATAATACACTGTTCTTCTTTGGACACTGAATAAAATGTCTAGTAACAATTTTTAGTACTTGGTTATATCATAAAAGTATGCCCAGGCAGAGGATGCCTCTCTTCACTGATCAGGCAATCTGCATGTTATCCACTTACCACCATGATTGCAATTTTTCCAGCAACATCACCAACAACATTCATGGGTGGCTTGGCTTTAGGTGTGAGCACTGCAAATTAAAACAGAATAATACTTGGTGATGTTAAAATGATTTTTTCTGTTGCGATGTGTTTTAGGACTTAATAAATAAAGATAAGCAGAGCTACTTTGTAACTTCATATTTGTTTGTTAAATTGATACTAGATTCTGATACTGCATTGTTACAGTTGAGAATTTAAGAACAAAATGTCCTAAATATTAATCTGCTTACCCAATTTACAAAGGTTACATATCCTTTGTGACATTTATAAAAAAAAGAAGTGACAGCATTTTCCTGTGCAGCTCCAAAACGTTTTTATGCATTGGCAGCATTGCCTTCTCCTCAAAAAGAATATTAAACCATTGACAACACTTACTGGGCATAATTTCTATTCCTCTACTGAGCCTGTTTTCTTCCTCCTCTTCCTGTGGAGGGGGAGAGTGCCTGCCGTCATCTAGGTCAGAGTCGGGAATCCTTTCCTCACCATGAACCACTGCAATACCAAGGCGTAACCTCTCAGCATAGGACGTTGCTCGCTTGACAGAATTAGCATTTCTGGCAACAATGATGGCATTTCTGTAATCTGGGATCTGAAAGGTGAATGGGTAACTTACAGAAATCTGTTTTTTGCTTATCATGTAATATCAGAATGTCAATAATTTGCCATACAGTTTGATGATAAATGGGTATAATTTTCGTGGCTAGAACAAACAAAACTAGTCCATTATCACAGAAAAGGAAGTTATACTCAGTCAATTTCTAGGTACGTACTCTATATCGCTGCACTTTTAATGTTACCTACCATTTTCATGATATATTCTATGAGGAAAGGTGATGCACGTAGGTTATCAACTGGCATATCAAAAAATCCCTGTATTTCTTTCTGGTGTAGATCAATGGTGATCAAGTTTGTTATACCTAAATACAGAAATGTGACAGGGCAATACTGTTTATATAATGGATGTACTAACAGTAAGACAAAATTCAGAACATTAGAACAAAACGGAATTCAGTTTTAATTCACTATCATCATGATAAAAACGGACATCAAAAGTTTGTTATACATGTAAACCTCACCAAGGCAAGACTGGCATAAAGTCATAAAGTACAATATCATGTTTTTTAATTTTCTCAATGTTTCACACAACTAGGGAACAATATGGCCAGATGAAACTTTCAATTAATTACTTGAGATGTGATAAGACTTCAATATGTCTAACCTGCATTTTTGAACATCTGTGCCAGCAATTTACAGGCTATTGCTCCCCTCTTCCTCATCTTGCTCTGCTTACAGTAGGGCAGGTACGGCACTACACCTATGATCTTTCTACAGGAGGAAGTCTTACAGGCATACGACATGATCAGCAACTCCATTATGTCATTGTTCACATTCCTGAAAAAGAAAAATTGTTCAGACTCCTGAGAAATAAAAAAAAAAAAAAAAAAAAAAAAACAACAACATCAAATTATTGCTTTCTTCCCATTATATAAATCATGGGTGTTATTGATTAAATTCCCACTATATCATAACCATATTCTAGGATTACTAGACTGAGAAGTACTTGAATTCAATGAAAACAAGCCTTATCTACATAATAAAACACAATATCCATGTTTCTGCCACATATATATATCCAACATATGAGACTATCTGTGCAAAATATAGTAATATTACTGCAGTGCATGGATTCCTAAATTGCAAACTTGTCTGTCAGTATACAGATACTTTTTATCCATATTTCAGGATACATAAAAAGCCTGTCACTCTGTCTGGAAGCTTATACTTATGTCTGTATTCAGTTTTGCAAATACTAGTAACAATTTCAAATCCTAAATAACAAAAAAGTGCACATACCTTGGTCTTTGCACACACACACACACAC